AATTAGCACGCATAAATTCAAAATATTTTTCTCTTCTTTTGAGTAAAAAGCAGTCTTATCGTGTGCAAAACATTCCAAACTATCCGATGGTGCCATTTTTACCTCCTAAAAAATAATTATCTTTGGTAAAACTGACCGCAAAATCGAAGTTTGTCGAGAGGCGTGCGGACACCACCGGCGGACCCTAAAAAGTAGAGTGAGATGAACATCAATTTGTAAGACTTTCGATGCAAAAATATTAAAAATGAGTGGCATGGCTGTGAAGCTGAGTTTACGTAGAAGCCCTAGAAACCACTATTTTCATTATATAAACTTAAATAGACCACTTTTGCCGAATATTGTGGACACAATAACAGGACAATTATTAACTGGAAATGGCGGCATACATATGAAGCTTTATGTTAAGTGGCACACTCTGGAACATGTGTTATACATCGTTCGAATCGCCGATCTCTTCTGACCATGTCCACCAAAGGGCATCGCGCCATTTTGCGCCATTTTGCTTCTACGGTGGATAACGTGAGCCAGTTCAGTCCGCGAGCGGCTGTGGCTCCTGTTCGATACGACTAAGCTCATTGACCTGGCTCGAAGCTGGTGTCACCTGGTGTGCGCCTAAATGTGGCTTGACTTTTGCCACAAGATGTGCTAATTGAAATTATACTAACGGTGGCTGGCAACAGCTGTAGATGCGGTCACGTGACGCCCTGGGGCGTCCTGGCGGTCAGTGCAGCGCGGTCGGCTGGCGGGCTCGCCACACTTGCGTTCGGAGCGGCCTGGCCGGCGGGCGAGCCGTACGAACGTGCGCCAAATCTTGGGCCGAGCGGCCTGTCGCTGTTGGGCCGAATATCCTTGGTCAGTTCGTTTCTTTTCTTCTCTTTGCATTGGCAGGGAATACGTCCTTGATCACGTGTTGATGTCTTGCACCACTTTCAGGTAATGTGGGGATTAATGCGTGCTAATTCTGAAAAAGGGCCACTGTGCAGCCCTTTCACGCCTATGGCCCTATTCAGATAATTTATTATGCTATTTTGACTAGATGTAGCTCTCTTCCAGAAAAAAGCTGCCTGCTCGCTATCAGCATTGGAAATGTAAGCATCTTATTCTTTAGCTCCATGCACAGGTTGTGGGTTCTCGTCCATCTTTCAAATGTCCTTAGGCTAAAGATGATTGATAGGCCACACACAATTCACGCATCGCCTTTTTCCCACTCAGCATACTCCACAACTCACAGTCATACATGCTTGTACAAAATGTCCTGAAGAGCCTCTAGAGTGTCCCTATCTGCAAACAAAGGCAGGCATATAAGCAATTAGTGTAACCCTAAATGATACTTACCAAGAAACACACTGGACCGAATTTGACTAAATCTGCACCTAATCTGCCCCAAATGTGCACCAAATGTGTACCAGATGGCCGTCGTGAAAACGGCTATTTGGTACCAAATATCTCCAGGCTATCTAAAAGTACCTGTACTTTTATAAATGAATGATTGTTTCTGACATGGTTGTTAAGTGCAATCAATAAAAAATCCCTTAGTTAAGGTGGTTGGGCTTTGGCTTGCTCGGTCCACTAAAATCAAGCAGGAAAACAGATGAGCTTATCCGCTTGGAGCGCCTAATTGCACATAAAGGGCAAGGCTTTAACGCATTTTCCAGGAGTTTATTCATTGGAACATACATTTATATTCACTTGGAATTTTCCGTTATCCCTAAGCAGTCTTACATGGTATTGAAAATTTATGATGCTAAAATGTGGAAGGCTATTATAATTACGAAGCGTAATTATATTCATTGTCTATTTAACTTCGTCCATTACATAATAATGTTTGCAGTCTCGTTCGTTAAAGATAAATCTGGTAAAAATACACGTTGATGATACTGATAGATTGTACTTCCAATAATTCAGATACTTTCCTTTGATTACCAGTAAACACTGACGCTCCGAAGAAACACGAGGTGGGCTGAAACCGCATTATTCGTTCAGCTAGAACAGTTAACAGGATCAAGGATAACCGCTGGTCAGTCCATCATTTGTCGTTTGACAGCGGCCTCTTCCATCCATGGAGCACCAACTGACATTTATGGTCGACCGATGCAATGGATTGGATTGATCTTGGCCAGCGATACGCCGTCACACCGATCCAGAGAAATGATGACTGACCAAGGCAGTGGTTTCATATGCAGGTCCAACAGCACACCTAAGCCTGTTTGCTTGCCTGCAACACAAATAAGGAAAACCTGATTGGTATGTGGATGCGCAACGATGGCAGTTTGCAGGGTGACGCTATGACGCTCGCTGTTCGATGTCATCAGTTCTGAGTCATGCGAGCAAATTCCGTTCAGAATTAGTCAGCAAAGTAAAAGCTATTCGAAAAACTGGAACTGTTCGATGCATACTTTCTCTAAGGCAAACAGGCAGGCGGTTGGTAACATGGTCAATGGTCATCTTATCTGCCTCTTAACCCTCGCCCTGGCAGGGTGGGGTCGATGCGACTCCCCCTAAGGTTTTTCGAAGATAGCGTAAAAAACGGCGGCGCGCAGCTGCGTAAAATTTGGAACAGCCCATGGGGCAGCCTTTTTACATATGACCTGAAAATTTCAGGTCCGGGTGACTTTGGGACAGGTCACCAGGTCAGAAAAAAAAACCGGTACAAGGTCATGGTCAAATTTCAATTTTCTTTATGCACCTGTCCAACGCACAGTTTTGAACTGATTTCCTTCAAACTTTCAGGATGTGCCTAGTTCACCAGGTTGTATAACATATAGTTCGTTTTTTATGTCACTGACCTGAGGTCAGTTAGAGGTCATTACGTCTTAATGTTAAGCCTATGGGAAAATATTCAATTCGGAAAATACTGGAGATATCCGCTTCGTTCTATCACTTTTGTGCTTTGAAACCTCAGTACTCAACATTATGTCACATGGTACTTCTTTGTTTGGTGTTCTTATCCATGGTTCAGGTCAAATGAGGTCAACTGAGGTCAAATGACGTTTGTGCCAATAACTTGTCACATAATAAAGATAAAGCTTTCCAAATGGCACCATTCTGTTCCTCTTGAAGAGCCGAGACAAATGATATGTAACATTAAGCATTTCAACCATTCTTAAGATATAAGTTTCACTTAAGATGTGCTTAACTTTTTAAGTATACACTTAAGCAAGCAAAAAGGCATGTCATGCGACGTGCCTTGACTTGCTGAGTTCACTGGTGCTTTTTTTTTGCTCTATCTCAATTAGATCAAAAGATATGAGCGAAAAACTTTTGACCTGTTTTTAGCGAAATTTTTATATTCCTACCCCCAAAACCCCCCTAAATATTGGCCTAGAGCAACCAAATTTGCTTCGACCTGAAATTCATCCAAATATGGTCCATATCACTTATTGAGTACCTACGTCCATTCAACTGTATGTTAACCCGCGCACCGACGGGGGGGGGGGGCGGTTATCCGCCCGGTCGGTGCGCGGGTTAAGGTTACCAATAAATCATGTGTCGCACATGCCCTATTCTATATTTCGGTTTTGGTGACCTGACTTGACCTTGAACTTGAATTTCGTATGGCATCGTATGCACTGGTGGATCAAAGGAGGTATTAATTGGCCCCAGCAGCGCCCGAAATCAACGAAAATTTGCGGTTTTTCGAGAAAAAAAAACCTAAACAACTTTTATTGGGAGATGTTTGTTTTTAATTACACAGCAGTGCGTAAGAAATCGAAGTCCAATGAGTTGGTTGAATTTTTTTTAGCATAACCCCGCAGCGTCCAAAACCGCCTTTCGAGATCCTCCAGTAATCGAATGCAACACATCTTGTCTTGGTAGCCTAACAGAACGTTTTGGGTGACCAATCTCAGTCCATTCTTCGGCAACTGCGCCCCAAAACTGAAAATGTAAAAAGCTTGCATGTTGTGAGCTTGACCTGGCCGTGCCCTGGCCTTTGACATACTAAAGCAAACAAGTCTTGGTTCCAAGGTCCGTCTTGTTAAAAGCCTTCGATTGCAGTTTTCCCCGTCTTTCTACGACCATCCAGCGGGAGTCTGCCCCGTCCCCCAGCAGTGCGCGTATGGCTAAATAGGCCAGCAACAATTATGTGATCTGTTTCTAATATACGTTTTCAGTTAGCTGTAATTGTGTGTACACTTATTTTCCTGGCCGGCAGGAGAGAAAAAAAAAACGATTCTCGATAATATTCTCACTGCCCATAGATGGCATTAGTAGTTACGCGCCTGAAGTTATGCTGTACCGCATAGCCCACAGTCGCTAGCCTGGCTACCGCCCCGATTCACCTTATTCCGGACACAGAAGCTTTTCTCGCTCACTAAGGAGCTCACCAGCACTACCTGTGATCTTCGACTTGGTTATCAGATTGACTTATTTCCATCAACCATCGCGGCTACCGTGAACGGTGAAGATTGAACACGGCTACTGCAGAAGCTCTGAAGAGGATGTATGCGGAATTTTCCGATGAGATTCCTCAGGAGCTCAGCATCCGATCTGGCTGCAGTAAAACGGGTCAGAAGTGAGCCGGATCCGGGAGGGAGAGAATTTCCCGGCCGGTCGGCGGGTCGGCCTGTCCGAGGCCCGGCGCCGGGAGATGTCAGCCCCGACAGGGTCGCGGGAGGCGCCGCCGGACCCGGCCGCTCATCCCGCGGCGCCGCGCTCTGCGTGACTCAGCGCCCGAACCGTCCCGATGCAGGTCTGATGAGACGAGGGCGACAGTCAGCCACCGTCCACGGCAGCCGCCCACCGCCCACCGCCGCCGCTGTTCCAGGGATCCCGGCCGGCGCGGCGCGACGCCGGCCTTGGCTGGCACGCGACGGCCGCGCGACCGCTTACCTGCTCGCCAATGGACCGCCCGGCGTGCCCCTTACATGGACCGTGCAGATACACCCAACCAGGCGCCGAGCGGCGGGCTGTCCGACGTCCGCCCATATGACGTCACACCAACTCAGACTCCGCCTCCCCGGCTGGCCTCCGTACAAATACGGCCGACCGAGCCGACCGACGGCAGATCACAGCCTGAGAACAAGCAGCCAGTGTCGGTGAATACGAACTGTGTGCGAAAACGAACGCAGGGCAGATACAAGCTCAGAAATCCAATCAGAAGATAATAATTCAAACCAATGTAAGTAGCAAACGGATTACATTTTCCATTCATCTTACTTCAGACAAGCGAAAACACTTCAGAATTTACTATGCATTCATGGACTTAAAACGAAAGGCTTCAAAAAACTGTGCCGATGCTTAAAATGTGCCAAACTAAGATGCTCAAATTATTCCCAGTAGCGCCGTGCCTGACAATTCTCCCACCCTCTTACAGATGTCGAGCAGTGGCCGTCTCTGTCTGCTGGTGGTGGCCGCGTGTCTGCTGGCGCCGGCCGCCGTGTCGGCACAGATCCAGTTCTCCGAGGACTGGACTCACGGCAAGCGCGACGTGTCGGCACAGCAGCAGCAGCTGCTGGCAGCGGCCGCCGCCGCCGCCGACGGCGCGCCGCGGCCGCCGCTCAGCCTGCTGGACGTGCTCAGCAAGGCGGCGGCGCAGCAGGCCGCCGGCCAGCAGTGCAAGCCCGACGCCGAGGCGCTCGGACTCATCTACGACCTCATCATGGTGAGTAAAGTCTACAGTGCTTACAAAGATTTGTACGATTTTATTCAAGGTAGCCCAAGAAAAGGGGATTAAATGTCAACTATGCTCAGTAAAAAGTGATGCAGTGTTAGTGTAATTGGTTTAAACCGTTTCAGCCAAGTCATGAACAGTTGAACTGATGTCCGCTTTTCTTTCTTTCGCAGAGGGAAGTCGAGAAGGTCATCAGCTGCAGAACCCAAAACGGAATGCTGAAACCGGCCTACGCGGCATAGAATCGGGAGCGCGCATAGCTTCTGGTTGAACCAAAGAAGAAACGGCAGTTCCTCGACTCACTCATTGTCAGGGAGTTTATTTATTGTCCCGTCAAGTGGGCCCGGTATCTAGTGCCGTTTTGCACGGACCAAGTCTGAGGGAAGTCGCAGCGTGCGGTATCCTGAGCAGCAGCAGCACTGGAGCCTGAACAGTCGCCCGCTGCGTTGTGGAGGAAGGCAATGCTGTCTGGAAGCCGAGGCGACTTAAGTCACGCACCAAGAGCTGCTGGTGCCGACAGCAGAGTGACGCCCTCGCCGGGTCTGAGTGGCTCGTCCGCGGGGCCAGAAGGGGCCGCTCCTCCGTGCACATGGAGAGGCTGGTGGCTGCTGTCGTCCATATAGGACTGTTACGGGACCGAGTGAACTGTGATACCTACCCATTGTCTTTATCTCGCCTCTCGTTTACATCCTCCCGTGCTTCAGCAACATCAAGCTGCCGACGATGTCTCCTGAATGGAATCATGTTTTTTTCTGGCAGCTGTGTGCAATTGTTGTTATTGATGACGCTTGTGACCAGAACATTCACTCATTTTTAGCTTTTCATGCTTCATATCTAGGCGCTAATGTCAACCATTATAGCGTAGCTCGTCTCACTTATACATTAGAGGCCTTCCAACACGTTGTACAGACATCGTGCACTGTTATTATTTCCATCAGATTAACATCTCATGCGTTTTAAGCTATTTGTATTTATTTGTGTATTTATTGGTATTTATTACCCATTTTTTACCATGTGTGAATGTGATTGTCGGCCATCGACAGCTAGCGATCGGTTATATATTGTTTAGTATGGACTACTGTGTTCCAATGAATAGCGTTGCCATTATAAGCACTGCTGTTTTTATGTCATATGCCATGTTGGCGAGCCAAATACTCATGGTAATAACCGTTTCAATGTATGTGTGCTAACAAATAAAACATTCGTGTTTCTAAACTTATTTTAAAAACTTTGGAAAGGAAGTTAGAGGCAAGGGTCTTGTTTGGGATACCCGTGTTAACCCGGGCACCGACGAGTGCGCCAACTTAGAACCGAAGGGGGGGGGGCGGTTGACCGCCCCCCCCCCCCTGAGATCTCGAGAACGAAGCAAGATAGCTACAAGCGGTTAACAGCATGGGGTACGCACGGACAAGGTCTACAATTTTTACTGAGTTTATTTTCAGGTCAGGTCAAAGATGACGTCACAAGGGTAAAAAAGTCCAAATGGCGGCGCTAGAAATGAGGAGAGTTTTTCACGAATAACTTTCGAAATGGCCAAGCTAGGAACAAACCGATGGCGCAGTCGTGATCCTCTCGTCAGTCCGCATCGAATTATACATAAGTTGACCTCGAAAGGTCAGGATCAAAGGTTGACCTCAGGTCACGTGACTTCAAGGTCATCATGTATATCATTCGATGTGCCTTGACGAGCTGAACACAATGAGACCATCCGCCTGGCTGTATCTCGTTTCTGTAAGGAGTTATTAGCAAAAAAAAAATATTTGATGACCCTTGATGACGTCACATGACCTTACCGTTGCCCAAGAGCAAAACAGGCAGTCAAGGTTGATCGTATTCGTGTATGAAGTCATGCATGGTGTATTGGGCCATTCCAACGCCTTTTAGTGGAAAAACAGGGGGTTCATTTTCCCCCATTGACTCACAATGGGAGGTCAAGAAATTGACCTGACCTTAGGTCCTCGATATCAAAATTCCGAGATATACAAATTGTAGCTAGCAACGACTTCATTACATCCTACGACGTTCAAAGGCCTCTGTCATCTACTGTAGCTCTGACACGGTGACAAATTTGCAAAGAAGTGATTTGAGGTTGTGTCATTCGAAGTGACCTGGTGACCTCACCTTGAAAGGTAGGAGGTTCAAACCTGCACACCATGTGTAAAATTGATGAGGGAAGAGCATGCCAAATTTCGCGGCGCTAGCGCCGCGAAATTTGGAAAAACCTCAGCCCCCCCCCCCCCCCGTCGGTGCGCGGGTTAAACTATTGATAGTACGAAATATTGAATAATTATCACCTCCACCAAATGAGGCAAACTTTCTAAATAAAGAACATTTAAAACATTTGCTTAAAAGGCTTTTAAGATAGCTCACATATTTGCAATTGAACGGATCGATGAGAGCAAAGCCATTGCAGCCCAGGATGGAGAATAAGGTGCACTACCCGATCACGAGATTACATGCTATATTGGTTGAATTAAAAAACCAAATGCATAGCGAAATACCAAGACAATTTATCCAACACACCGACTTTAACCCGTGCAGGGCTCGACGCCACCATCGCCTGACCTCGGGGAGTATTTGAACGTCTCCTGTAAGTATATAACTCGGCTTTAAGGACACGTAGCGATACGCGCTAAGTGGTTTCGAAAAAGCGTCTAAAATTACGATCAAAATACTTTGCTAAGTTTTTAGGTAAAATTAGAGCTGAGTTTCCTATTTTAACACTTTTTGATAAAGCGGCGCATAATCCGGCAACGATGTGCATGCCGTAGAGTTTCTTTTGCTTGTCTCAACATTTTCATGATGTTGAAAAGTAAAAGTGCCTATGCAATTGAATGAAAGAACGGCGGCATTTATTGTATCCATATTCTTTTCCTGACTACCCTGAAGCTCGGCAACCTCTCGCCGGATCTTTCCCAGTACCGCCCAGCGACCGCCCATATGACGTCACACCAACTCAGACTCCGCCTCCCCGGCTGGCCGCCATACAAATACGGCCGACCGAGCCGACCGACGGCAGATCACAGCCTGAGAGCAAGCAGCCAGTGTCGGTGAATACGAACTGTGTGCGGAAACGAACGCAGGGCAGATACAAGCTCAGAAACCCAATCAGAAGATAATAATTCAAACCAATGTAAGTAGCAAACGGATTACATTTTCCATCATCAATCTTCAGTACCTACCAATTAAAACTAACTACGAATGTATGCAATAAGAACAGAAATGCTGTGAAAAGGAGTACCATTGCTCAAAATCTAATCCACTTTTGCGCCGTGTCTGACGTTCCTCCCACCCTCTTACAGATGTCGAGCAGTGGCCGTCTCTGTGTGCTGGTGGTGGCCGCGTGTCTGCTGGCTCCGGCCGCCGTGTCGGCACAGATCCAGTTCTCCGAGGACTGGACTCACGGCAAGCGCGACGTGTCGGCACAGCAGCAGCAGCTGCTGGCAGCGGCCGCCGCCGCCGCCGACGGCGCGCCGCGGCCGCCGCTCAGCCTGCTGGACGTGCTCAGCAAGGCGGCGGCGCAGCAGGCCGCCGGCCAGCAGTGCAAGCCCGACGCCGAGGCGCTCGGACTCATCTACGACCTCATCATGGTGAGTAAAGTCTACAGTGCTTACAAAGATTTGTACGATTTTATTCAAGGTAGCCCAAGAAAAGGGGATTAAATGTCAACTATGCTCAGTAAAAAGTGATGCAGTGTTAGTGTAATTGGTTTAAACCGTTTCAGCCAAGTCATGAACAGTTGAACTGATGTCCGCTTTTCTTTCTTTCGCAGAGGGAAGTCGAGAAGGTCATCAGCTGCAGAACCCAAAACGGAATGCTGAAACCGGCCTACGCGGCATAGAATCGGGAGCGCATAGCTTCTGGTTGAACCAAAGAAGAAACGGCAGTTCCTCGACTCACTCATTGTCAGGGAGTTTAAATAATTGTCCCGTCAAGTGGGCCCGGTTTCTAGTGCCGTTTTGCACGGACCAAGTCTGAGGGAAGTCGCAGCGTGCGGTATCCTGAGCGGCAGCAGCACTGGAGCCTGAACAGTCGCTTGTTGCGCTGTGGAGGAAGGCAATGCTGTCTGGAAGTCGAGGCGACTTTAGTCACGCACCAAGAGCTGCTGGCGCCGACAGCAGAGTGCCACCCTCGCCGGGTCTGAGTGGCTCGTCCGTGGAGCCAGAAGGGGCCGCTGCTCCGTGCACATGGAGAGGCTGGCGGTTGCTGTCGTCCATATAGGACTGTTACGGGGCCGAGTGATCTGTGATACCTACCCATTGTCTTTATATCGCCTCTCGTTTACATCCTCCCGTGTTTCAGCAACATCAAGCTGCCGACGATGTCTCCTGAATGGAATCATGTTTTTTTTTCTGGCAGCTGTGTGCAATTGTTGCTATTGATGACGCTTGTGACCAGAACATTCACTCATTTTTAGCTTTTCATGCTTCATATCTAGGCGCTAGTGTCAACCATTATAGCGTAGCTCGTCTCACCTATACATTAGAGAACTTCCAACACGTTGTACAGACATCGTGTACTGTCATTATTTCCATCAGATTAACATCACATATGTTTTAAGCTATTTGTATTTATTTGTGTATTTATTGGTATTTATTACCCACTTTTTACCATGTGTGAATGTGATTGTCGGCCAGCGACAGCTAGCGATCGGTTATATATTCTTTAGTATGGACTATGATGTTCAGATGAATAGCGTCGTCATTAAAAGCACTGCTGTTTTTATGTTGTATGCCATGTTGGCGAGCCAAATACTCATGGTAATAACCGTTTCAATGTATGTGTTCTAACAATTAATAGATTCGTGTTTCTTAACTTATTTTTAAAGCTTTGGAAAGGAAGTTAGAGGCAAGGGTCTTGTTTGGGATACCCATGTTAACCCGCGCACCGACGGGAGTGTGCGCCAACTTAGAACCGAAGGGGGGGAGGTTGACCGACCCCCTTCCCCCCCTGAGATCTCGAGAACGAAGCAAGATAGCGACAAGCGGTAAACGGCATGGGGTACACACGGACAAGGTCTACAATTTGTATGAGGTAGTTTTCAGGTCAGGTCAAATATGACGTCGTTGTTCCTGTTTGTGTTTTTATGCGAATGTGCCAATAAAACTGTATGAAATTTAAAAAACATGACGTCACAGGGACCAAAAAAGTCAAAATGGCGGCGCTAGAAATGAGGAGAGTTTTTTCTCGAATAACGTTCGAAATGGCCAAGCTAGGAACAAAGTGATGGCGCAATCGTGATCCTCTCGTCAGTTTGCATCGAATTATATACATATAAGTTGACCTCGAAAGGTCAGAAACAAAGGCTGACCTCAGGTCACGTGACCTTAAGGTCATCACTCTCATCATGCATTTCATTCGATGTGCCTTGACGAGCTGAACACAATGAGACCAGCCGCCTGGCTGTATCTCATTTCTGTAAGGAGTTATTAGCAAAAACCTTTGGTGACCCTTGATGACGTCACATGACCTTACTGTTGCCCAAGAGCAAAAAAGGCAGTCAAGGTTGATCGTATTCGTGTATGAAGTCATGCATGGTGTATGGGGCCATTCCAACGCCTTTTAGTGAAAAAACAGGGGGTTCATTTTCCCCCATTGACTCATAATGGGAGGTCAAGAAGTTGACCTGACCTTAGGTCCTCGATATCAAAATTCCGAGATATACAAATTGTAGCTAGCAACGACTTCATTACATCCTACGACTTTCAAAGGCCTCTGTCATCTACTGTAGCTCTGACACGGTGACAAATTTGCAAAGAAGTGATTAGAGGTTGTGTCATTCGAAGTGACCTGGTGACCTGACCTTGAAAGGTAGGAGGTTCAAACCTGCACACCATGTGTAAAATTGATGAGGGAAGATCATGCCAAATTTCGCGGCGATAGCGCCGCGAAATTTGGAAAAACCTCAGGGCCCCCCGTCGGTGCGCGGGTTAAACTATTGATAGTACGAAATATTGAATAATTATCACCTCCACCAAATGAGGCAAACTTTCTAAATAAAGAACATTTAAAACATTTACTTAAAAGGCTTTTAAAATAGCTCACATATTTGCAATTGAACGGATCGATGAGAGCAAAGCCATTGCAGCCCAGGATGAAGAATAGGGTGCACTACCCGATCACGAAATTACATGCCCTATTGGTTAAATTAAAAAGCCAAATGCATAGCGAAATACCAAGCCAATCTATCCAACACACCGACTTTAACTCGTGCTCGGCAAATGCTCGACGCCACCATCGCCTGACCTGGGGGAGTATTTGAACGTCTCCTCCATGGTAGTTTTTCAATAGAAAAACACAATTCTAACGAATAGTGTTTGTCTTTTCAAACAACCTGCGGTTATAACTCGGCTTTAACCCGGCAGTTGCTGGGGTATTTCGCCACCCACCGTTTGCTGGGGGGGGGGGCGTTAAACGCCCCCAGCCGATAACTCGAGAACCAATAGGCGCAGCGAAACGCACGAGGCGGCAAACGAAAGAGCGCGACGAGACGCTTCAGATGAGTACTTTAAAGTTGAATTTTGAGGTCACAGGTCGGGTCAAGGTCAGGTCAAACACCTGAAATCGGGCTTTCAGTAGCATGGACTTCAGGACTTCGCAATGGGCGCCTCTCGCCATAAACTCTGTCAAAACGGTGCACAATCCATCTTATAATGCCTACAGGAGTGTCAGCTCCATGTAGGGGTCAGTCAAGCATAGGTCAGGGTCAAGGTCAGGTCAACCGGGTAGGCACATATCCCCGAAAATCAAAACTGATATTCGCAGCCTGTGACACATGTTTTATAGGTAATTTGGGGCGTAGAACACGATGGTGACATTCATTTTATCATATGTGTACGTGTTTGGCTCAAAAAGTTCAATTTAAGAAATTCATGTATCATGGTCGTGAAGTAGTCACGAAAAATTGCCAAGATTCAGTTCAAGATTTTGGAAAATGCGGAACGATAATCAATAATCGAAGATAGCCATTTGATTGATCATGGTATTGGCAGTCTAATAGCGTTTACAGCATGTCTGTATGTCTATTCTGTGATTTTATATGATTTTTTGAACATATGCCGTTTTTGGTCGAAAACTCAGAAATCATGACGTCACTAAAACCTCGATATCTCAAAAATTTTCCGACCGATTTTTTTGAAACCTTGTCACAATAAACTTCAATCAATTCCCTACAAGTACCCAAAATTTGGCGCGCCTGCGGCGCGCCGTTTTTATGCTATGGCCCGGCGAAAAAAGTGGGGGCGTTTAACGCCCCCCCCCCCAGCAACTCGCGGGTTAAGGACACGTAGCGATACGCGCTAAGTGGTTTCGAAAAAGCGTCTAAAATTATGATCAAAATACGTTGCAAAGTTTTTAGGTAAAATTAGAGCTGAGATTCCTACTTAAACACTTTTTAATAAAGCGGCGCATAATTCGGGAACGATGTGCATGCCGTACATTTTCTCTTGATTGTCTCAACATTTCCATGATATTGAAAAGTAAAAGTGCCTATGCAATTGAATGAAAGAACAGCGGCTTTTATTGTATCCATATTCTTTCCCTGACCACCCTGAAGCTCGGCCACCTCTCACCGGATCTTTCCCAGTACCGCCCAGCGACCACCCATATGACGTCACACCAACCCAGACTCCGCCTCCCCGGCTGGCCGCCGTACAAATACGGCCGACCGAGCCGACCAACGGCAGATCACAGCCTGAGAGCAAGCAGCCAGTGTCGGTGAATACGAACTGTGTGCGAAAACGAACGCAGGGCAGCTACAAGCTCAGAAATCCAATCAGAAGATAATAATTCAAACCAATGTAAGTAGCAAATGGATTACAATTCCCATCTATCAATCTTCAGAACCTACCAATTAAAATTAACTGCGGATGTATGCAATGAGAACAGAAATGCTGTCAAAAGGAATGCTCAAAATCTAATCCACTTTTGCGCCGTGTCTGACGTTCCTCCCACCCTCTTACAGATGTCGAGCAGTGGCCGTTTCTGTCTGCTGGTGGTGGCCGCGTGTCTGCTGGCTCCGGACGCCGTGTCGGCACAGATCCAGTTCTCCGAGGACTGGACTCACGGCAAGCGCGACGTGTCGGCACAGCAGCAGCAGCTGCTGGCAGCGGCCGCCGCCGCCGCCGACGGCGCGCCGCGGCCGCCGCTCAGCCTGCTGGACGTGCTCAGCAAGGCGGCGGCGCAGCAGGCCGCCGGCCAGCAGTGCAAGCCCGACGCCGAGGCGCTCGGACTCATCTACGACCTCATCATGGTGAGTAAAATAAAAAGCACAACACGTTCATATAAATGGCCATTTATGTCATAAAGCGGAATTTTAGAGACCATAAAAAGTAACCATCTATTTCAGTAAATAAGATGAAGTAAACAAAAATAAGTTTTTAATCGTTTGGATGGTTGGCATGAGTGAAGACATAGTCAAAATTGATGTGAAAATGATCAATAACATGCCAAAAATTGTATTGGTTCTTTAGTTTACCAAAGAGAAACAAAAGAGACAAGCTTTCGACAACACTGTCATCATCAGGTCTGAGTTTTGTAGCGTGCGAATATGTTTTTGTATGTTGTGAAGTGTGTAAAGGAATTTCAAAAACTCAGACCTGATGATGACAGTGTTGTCGAAAGCTTGGCTCTTTTGTTTCTCTTTGGTAAACTAAAGAACCAATACAATTTTTGGCATGTTATTGATCATTTTCACATCAACTTTAAACAAAAATATCAAAATCAGCACGTCTGAGCAAACTGTTTCAGCCAAGCCATGAACGGTTGAACTGATGTCCGCTTTTCTTTCTTTCGCAGAGGGAAGTCGAGAAGGTCATCAGCTGCAGAACCCAAAACGGAATGCTGAAACCGGCCTACGCGACTTAGAATCGGGAGTGCGCATAGCTTCTGGTTGAACCAAAGAAGAAATGGCAGTTCCTCGAAGTCACTCATTTCAGGGAGTTTATTTATTTTCCCGTCAGTTCGGCTGGGAATTCAGTGTCGATTTGCACGGACCAAGTCTGAGGGACGCCACGGAGTGGGTCTTCCTGAGCAGCTGCAGTACTGGATAGTTACCGCAGAAGTGCTGTTCCGCTGAGGAGAGCGGCGCTGTCGTAAAGAGGAGGTGGCACTCACGTCACATATCGAGTGCTGCTGGTGCCGACGGCAGCGTGGCGGGGTCTGAGAGGGTCGTCCGTGGGGACCGGGGCAGCCTGCTGCTCCGTGCAGCTGGCGAGGCTGCAGTGGCTCCCGCCTTCACCAGAGGACCCGTACGCAAGACCCAGTGAACTGTGATACCTACCTACTGTCCTGATCTCAGCCTGCAGTTATGGCCATCACTAGTGCTCAGGATCACTGTATACTTATCGTTCCTGCATGTGCGCGGTTGTGGGAACTGGGATGTGGGTATGTGTAATACCTGCATGTTCCTATGTCGATGGAAATGTTAGTCATAAAACGTTAGTCATAATCGTATTCAAGTATTTTCGGTTCTCAGTTATTATAGCTTGAAACGCTGCCAATTTTGTAATTTAGAGACGAACTATTTAGTAGTAGTTTAGTATAGTTCGCTTGTATAGTTCGTTAGCCAGCATCCCTCTTCTGACAAGCTATCAAACCCAAACTTTGTTCGTGTTACACATGCTGGTACTCATCTAGCTCATTTGCATTTGCAGCTTATCTATTATGTGCTCATTTTAGTTATTTATTTCACCATGCTGCTCCAATTGTGATGATTTTTTTTGTGTTTATAAGTCGAATGTGTCATTTGTCTTTTGTACGAGGCTTTTTATTATTTATTGGTTGGTATGCTGTCAGTGTGAAAAGTGCATGAATGATTGACAATCCATCAATAAATTTGATACAAAACATATCTTTTGCCTAACGGCTCGTCACATTTATTGTTGGTGCGACGCCGTGGGGTATTTATGTGAATACAATCCCGGGAAGACCACAAAAATTAAAACGTAACAAGAATTTCACTCTGGAGTATTCGAAGCGCCCGATGTGCGAAAGAATGCTCACACTTTCAAAACTGAATATTTATCGAATATAAACTGTACCTTAGGCACTTCTAAGTTCACGGAATATGATATCATGACGAGTAACTATCAGTTGGCAAAACATTTGCCGAAAAGTCGAAGGCTATGCCTACATTTGAATGCAAACATGCTAAATGCTCCCAATGATCGGGGGTACTCGCGGCGGATGAATGCGTAGAAGTCCGCGGACGGGCTGAGCACCAAAAACTGGTAGCAAAGCAGAGAGATGCCCACGAAAAGTAGTTTTCAAGATGCTTCAACTCCACTAGAGCACTTGAACTAAACGTCTCCTGAGAGCGCTCACGTCACTCACAGACACTGGGTAAGCGCTGTCGATAAGATGGTGAAGGAGCTGACGCAAGAAGATCGGGATGGGCTCTGAAATATGCAGTGTTAACGCACTGGAGTGGACCACGGTAAGTTGCACATAGGAAAATGTCGATCTTGCGGTGATTTTACATTATGGTTGAAGTGCAGTAAAGGCAATGCTCTGAAACTTTGTTTCAGTAAATAGATGCTATATGCTTTTATCGACATTTTCATGCCTTTTTATGGCGAATCAATGATGCAAACCAAATTCAATCACCCTAACCTGGTGAGGTGGCCACTGCCTAGATTTTTGCATGAAACTTGACAGAGTTATAAATTTATAACATATAAATGTTACATCCTATGCTGAAATGTTCACCTCAGGTTTCCTTAGACTGGGCCACCGCTTCAAAGATAAGGGATTACCTCTAATAAATGCCATTGCATATGTAAGGATCTACTGGTGTGCGGAATAACCTTTTTTGGTCAAGCCATAGGTAATCTTAACAAGGGTCAAATTTCCAAGTTGATGTCTAGAAATAAGACTTTAGTTCGCTTGTCACAGCTCGAATAAATGAGTGGTAAAATCGATGCTGGTAAATATTTTCAAATATCTTTGAACTCCCTCTGCGTGATCTTTGATCACTAGCAGATGAATCACTTCCATCACATTTTCACTCAGAAGGGGCTGCGTCATGTATTCCTTGATAGATGACTGATGAATGGTGACTAGTAGGTACTTGTAAAACCGCTCAACTGCTGTCCTAAAACGTGCCTGCGCCGCAGCAGCCTGAAAGACTTCGCCAACTAAAAATATCTCGACACAGCGGCTGATGCTGACGCAGTGAGGTCATCTTCCAGACGTAGACGATGACTAGAGGCTTTCGCAGTTGTGTGCACACACCCACCACTACCGTCAGCTCGCATCTTCAGGCGTTGGCTAGTACACGAGTCGATTGGCTGTGAAGTGCCCAGTGGCGACAGCGACTCACTGACTCACTGCTCTGGGTCGGACGCAAAGGTTGTTATGAAAACTTATCTTGACGTAAATATTGTGCTGTCGGTCAGTGATCAGTAAAGCTTGATAAGTACATGTGACCTTCATAGATTGATGAGTTGTGATGCTGCCTGCAGTTTAGCTTCATACTCCATTTAGTACTTGATTTCGAGGAAGTCATAGATTTGACCCGTCAGCTTAAAAGTATATATTCTCCACACTGTGGAAACTAGGATAATTTAATATCAAATAACGCAAAACATATAGCAAAACATAGCAACGCAACACAAAAACGGGTTTCAAATTTTGTTAATTAATAATGCCCGTTTACTGTATTCCTCGCTATTGTGACCACGGGCATGCATGTCGTAGTCAGAGAGGGGCTCTAGAAGTTTTGGCTCTAGCAGAGAGCCAGCGCCAATAGAAAATGATAGGTAATATGCAGGGCATTTTATGCACTACAAGGTATAAACCCATGCTTCCCGATCTGTAGCACCCGTTAAAGCAGCATCATGTTTATGTGCATCAAACCAGTCTTATTTTTCTTGGCCCATTTCAATATAACTATCCAAGCTTAGGAAATTGCGCAGAACCAAATGATACCACTGTAGCATGTCTCGAAAGAGCAAGTCACTGTTCATAGCACCTGACACACCAGTTCCCTGTGCCGGGTCAAGTTCCAACTATGTCTCGTTAACTGTCAGGAAGCTTATGAGCTCAGAGAGTGGTGCAGCGTGAGTGGATATTCCATGACTGGCATCTTCACTTCTAAACAATAATAAATAAAGATGTTATGCGAGCCATAACACGCGTTTTACTATCCCGCATGGCATCACGTCCACAAAGTGTGATCATCGGGAACCTTGGAACCAAGGGGCGGGTTATCCAGGAATTATAAAAGTCATTCAACGACTTGTGCGTAGTTGTAATGGATATGCCATACGGCACTCAGAAGCGATCCCGTCTCGGGGTATTCTTATCGATAACCTCGATTAGGCATAAGAAAACATTTTATGATAATCAAGTATCGCCGACAATGCCCCCTGCAGTTATCAGTCCTTCCCTCCCAAGCGCCTCCTCACAAAGAAAATGAGGAAACACGTGCTAAGTCAGATGGTTCAGACCAGGTATCCACAGCGGTTCAACTATCAAACAAATATTTGTACTTAATTTGCGCACAGTAAACGTTCACTTTCCTTTTTCCCTGTCTATATTTTTCTATATTTTCGTATAGTTCAAATTCAGTGGATTCATCTGATTCATAACGTTGTCTTCTACGAATTTTTGATGAACAATCGGCGCTCAAAAATAAACCATTATCAGTGTTTCTGTTCTAAATGCACACAACTTACCCTAAGGGTGTTTTATAAGAACGTTGCATCCCAGACATCTTCTTCCTCATAACCTCATCCATCGTCTTTTTCTCGGCTGGACTGCTTCTGTAGGGCGTAGGTCATTGGCACACAAACAAGATGACGTCCGAAACCAGGGCAGGGCCCGGCTGACCAAACCGTCACTGTGATTCAGCAGAATCGCCGGGTCCACATGCTGTACCACAGAGCTGGATGACGGTGCGCCCCCAGCCATTACACCATCAGGACCAGCGTGTCTGGAGCTGGTCCATAGATCAACCGAAATGGCTAACCATCCTCCTCTGGCATCCTCCCACTGCTCGTCAAGAGGCGTCGTTTTGATGACGTAATTGCAGCACTCTGATTCGCCGAACCTCGCTTTCACCTCAAGGAAGTGACCATTTGACCTCAGCGTTTCGATACCCATTGGCCGGATGAATGAAAAGAGGGCCCGGTCCCGCCGCGCCGGATCACCATGACCAACAGTTTGCGTGTCTCGGCACGCTTCTGGAACCGTCCTTCTCAATAGATTTGGCCCATTGAGACTGAGATCAAACACACCTGTCTTTCCCGACCACGTGGTGCCAGCGCCTGCCGCCTGGCCACTCTTGGCACGCGGGATACCAATCCGGACTCCGGACTCATAATATGCTGCATTGAGCACATGACCACAGCGGTTCACCGCTGTCACGTGGCGGGGGATAAAATAGGGCGACTTTAGTGTTGGATGAATACAATTGTACAATTGCAATTTCGCATCGGGTAATCCATTTCATTTGGCTAATAAATCGTAGAGATCAAACTGATATATGATGCAGACTTCCTTCACTGCTTCAATAGGTATACCAATACCTATTGTATGTTTCAACTTCAATTAGCGATATATTAACTTTATTATCTTTGCACTACCCTGTGCAGGGGCGGAGCTTCCTGTGCCTACAGTTGGTGGGGCGGCTGCCTAATCATTGTAGGGTTGATCATTGTAGGTTTGGTTGGACATTGTAGGTTTTACGACTTTTTGCCCCACCAACTTCCCTGGAAAAGCTCCACCTTGGCCCAGCGTAGGAGCCCTAGTATTTTGTATGCTGAGAAGATTTCACTTCAATGCTCGGTTAGCGCGTTCATGTGTTTAGGAAAGATGATATTGGCTTTAACGCAAAATCGTGAATATCACTCTTCGCAAAAGTCATTGATTAACCCTTTTTATAAGTAGCACCCATCTTCTCAAAGCTTCAAGATGACTTAAAAAAGAAAAAAATAATCTAGAGACTTTTGGGTGAAACTGTACGCGTGAACGTACGTGCGCATGCCGCATATTAGATAGGTTTATAGTTCGAATTAACACATCGAACAAATTCGGACCGAACAAGCCGTTTGGCTATATGTTTTGATCGGATGTTATATGAAGAAATGAAGGATAAACAATTACACCTGTTCTCCACTGCACTCGTAAGTGTACCTTCATGGTCGATGAAAAAGACTGCATTTGTGAACAATAAAATCATATTTAATCTGAAAGCTGCAAGGACCTAGCGCAGTCATACTGCTGTCAATATAACCATCAATATCGAGGCAAAGGAAGCTTTACGACATTCTTAACCCCTTTCTTTCATTCTGCGATCTCCCGATCCCCAGTTGGTCGAGGTCGACAGGCTGCAGTCTACATCGCCTTCAGACGGAGCGGAAGCCAGCGTTGGGTCATCTCTGACGTCACCATACCAGGTCATGTGACGTCACGGTGCTAGGTCATCTGACGTCACTACTATTCGCCCCTGACGTAACACGCGGCGCGGCCGCTGCACTGGCCGGCGATGACGCGAGTCGGCCCGTCGACCCGACCCGGCCGGCCGTCATCGCGGGACTCGCCGCCGTGTCCCCCACGTGACTGGGCACATTTTCGGCTGTGTGCGCTGCCGGTTACGCCACCTCTCGTCACTGAAGAGCGGCCCGGCGCGTGCTCAGCGAATGAGTCACATGGGGACGCCGCGCCGGTCGTCAGGCAGCGCCGAGATGGTGGCTCCGGCGAGGTCGGACGAGCTGACCTCTGACCTGGCGTCACGCGTGAGCGGAACCACGCCGCGCTGAAGGTCTGCCTCCGTGGCGCAGTCTGCGCGCGCTGGTCTGCGTATGTGCGGTTACCAGGGGCGCTGATGCGGCGGTTGTCCTTTG